CACTGCCCCCCCCCCCCCCCCCCCCGATAGCTAGCAATCCAAAACAGTCCAGTGGAGCCTGAGTGGTGGGTCTTGCCTTCTAACACACTTCCGGTGATGTCAAGGGGTGTGGCATATGCAAATACGTTATGCTAATAAGTTATGCTAATGAGCTCCTGCCCCTCTTTTTCTACTAAATGACCCCTGTGTCAGAGCATGGGCTATGCTGAGGTTTCGATCTTCCATACTACTAGAAAAGCACAAGAATCCTCAGGCCATGCAAAGAGTAGGGGTGTAGCCAGGGTTTGAAAAGTCGGGAGGCATTTTAGAAAGTCAGGGGGCACGGGGCCGGTGGGGAGGGAGCCATGCTGCCTGTGCTGCTACGGCGGCCATTGCTGTGCCACAATTCACAACACGGATAAAAACCAGGAGACGGGATGCTGGATTGTCTATGTGGAATAGCAAGGTCTGCATTTGCTTAGAGCAGTGATGGCGAACCTTTTAGAGGCCGAGTGCCCAAATTGCGACCCAAAACCCACTTATTTATCGTAAAGTGCCAACACGGCAATTTAACCTGAATGCTGAGGTTTTACTTTAGAAAAAACAACTCATACATTAACTTAAGACGATCCAAACAAAGTAAGGAAAGCAATCCCAAATGCTTTCATTTACTTAAAATTATTTGGCAGAGAATTCGACACTTTAATGATGGTCTGGGCCTGGCTGGGGCGATGGCACGCATGCCCACAGAGAGGGCTCTGAGTGCCACCTCTGGCACCCGTGCCACAGGTTCGCCACCACTGGCTTAGAGTAAGCAATACAGTACAAATACAGCAATTTACTTATTTTACTCCTAGATTTTCAAAGGTTTGGGGTTCTTCTTTTCCCTGCCCTGTCCAGGATACACCAGGGATGAAGATGGCAAGAAGACAAGGAGATCAGAGGATAGCAGAAATGTGCAAATGAGAAAAAAAAAAAGGTTTGATTTACTTCAACAGGAGTCTTGTGACACCTTAAAAACAACATTTCATGACCTATTTAGGCCAGGCAAGCCTGATATCATCAGACCTTGGAAGCTAAACAGAGTCGGGCCTGGTTGGTATTTGAGGGGAGACCACCAAGGAATACCAGGGTCGTGATCAGTGTTCCCTCTAAGCTGAGTTAGTGTGAGCCAGCTCACAGTTTTTTAGCCTCCGGCTCACACCTTTTTGTCTCCGCTCAGGAAGGGATGGCTCCAGAGCAGACTAATTAATGCAGTAGCCCAATCGCTCTCTTACAACTTTATTGCCAGTAGCTCACAAAGTAGAATTTTTGCTCACAAGACTCCACAGCTTAGAGGGAACATTGGTCATGATGCAGGGAGAAGCCATGGCAAACCTACCTCTGACCGTCTCTTGCCTCTGGGGTCACCACCAGTCATCTGTGACTTGACGGCACTTTCCACCACCGAGGGACTAGTGCTCGCTTCTTCAGACGCAGCGAGCGACGTTCTGCAAATTAGGGGCTTTCTCTTCCCCTTCTCTGCCTCCTACACTGAATTAGATACCTGCATTGTCACGCAATGAGTGACATTCTGTGGATGATTGGAGACTGGAGATCTGGTCAGCTGTGCAGATTAGAATGAATTTATTGGTTTGTTTACTTGATTTGTGCTCCATCCTCCCCTCCAGAGCAGGCTCAGGGAAGCTGACAGACCTAATGGTATCATATAAAGGTAAAGGTAAAGGTTCCCTTGCTCGAAAGCCAGTCGAGTCCGACTCTAGGGTTGCGGTGCTCATCTCCGTTTCCAAGCCGAAGAGCCAGTGCTGTCCGAAGACGTTTCCGTAGTCATGTGGCCAGCATGACTAAACACCAAGGCGCATGGAACGCTGTTACCTTCCCACCGAAGTGGTGCCTGTTTATCTACTTGCAATGTCTTGCTTTCGAACTGCTAGGTTGGCAGGAGCTGGAACGAGAGACAGGAGCTCACTCCGTCATGCGGCACACTCGGGTCTCGAACTGCTGAACTACCGACCTTCCACAGCCTGCAGTTCAGCGTCTTAACCACTTGAGCCACCGCAGCTCCAATAAAGCTTCATATAAACACTAAAACAATAAAAAAATTAAAATCATAAAACCATCTGTAAAGAGCTACATTTGTACGATGGTGGAATAACTGTCCTCATAGTCATACACAGTGGGGAATCTAATCAGGAAGAGATATATGGCTGGCATCCGGCTCCATACCATATAATTCATATAAAACAGCATTGTTCCAGGAGCAGCTGCCACTACATTGTTGGTTTTATTTCCCTCTCCTCTTTTCCCAGCACATTATTAATTCTGGGTGGGCCCTGGAGATCTCCTGGAATTACAACAGATCTCTAGACAACTGCGATGAACTCCCCTGGAGAAGATGGCTGCTTTGGAGGGTGGAGTCTATGGCATCATAACCCGCTAAGGTCCTGCCCCTCCCCAAACCCCGACTGCCCCAGGCTCCACCCCCGAAATCTCCAGGCATTTCCCAACTTTGAGGTGGCATCCCTAGCTGCAGGCCCGTAGCTAGGACCTTTCTAGTGGGGGAGCCCTGGGGAAAGTGGGGGGACCGTAGGGTGTGCCTCTTGTCATCTTTGGGCGGGGGGAGGGGAGAGCAGAGGATCGGGAGAGGCCCCACAAAACCCGTGGGGGGCCGGGCCCCGTGGGCCCCATGCGAGCTATGGGCCTGCCTAGCTGGTATTCCATGCAGGTCCCCGGGGCTGTGCCCCTAACCCAAAAGTACTAGCTTCAGAAAAGCTGGAATAAAAACAGGCAAGACAAATGCGACAAAATTTCTGCACAGTTCATAACTTCAGTTAAAAATCTTACCGCTTGCAGATTGTTGTTCGGCTGGCACACCAACTAGTTATCCTTCGACACTGGTGTGGGTCATATCTCCCAAGGAAGCTTTGCAGAATTCCCTGGAGCAGTCGGCAGAGCTTTTCGTGGAATAGATCTCGGGGCTACTGGTCTCTGGGATGACACGGAGGAGGCCCGGGAATCCTGCAAAGCCCCAGGTGGGTCAGATGGACCTCACAGTGCTCTGTTTGAAGTAAAATTTCAGAGGCCTTCCTCACCAGCAACTCCACCCACCACAACCACAGGAAGTTCAGCCTCTCCGTTGCTACCTATCTACATGGTCAGGAGGAGGTGTTAAAAATGATTGCAAAGGGGCAGCTGTTTTGGTCGAGCAGGCGTGATAGCTTTTAACAGAGGGACCTGCTTTCCTGTATGCTGTGTCTTGAGTTGCAGAGGACGTGGTGAGATGTGTGGTAGTCACCGTTCGTATTTTTCCAGGGGTCATTTTGTAGAAAAAGAGGTGCTGCAGGAGCTCATTAGCATAACTCATTAGCATAAGTTATGTGCATATCCCACACCCCCTGACATCACTGGAAGTGTGTCAGAAGGCAACACCCACCGCTCAGGCTCCACTGGACTGTTTTGGATTCCTAGCTATTGGGGGGGACGGACACGTGCAGATCTGTCCTTGCAGAGGAGGGAGAGCTTGTGCCTGAATAAAACTTGGTCTTAAAGGTGCCACTGGACTGTTTTGGCCCGGGGGGCCGGGAGGGTGTCTCTGCAGCTTACCTGGCTGCTTCTTGCTCTGACTGGGGGTTTCTGGGAGCAGGGGGTGGGGCTTGTTGCATGTGCCCGCCCCCTGGGCTCTTTACTGCCGGAGCTCCGCTCCTGTGCGCTCCTGTATTTTTCTCTGGCCAGGCTCCTCTGGTGTCTTTATTTAACAAATATTTATTTATTTATTTATTTATTTAGAAGGGGTTTTTGCTGCCTTTCCGCTCGAACAGGGCCCCCACAGAAATGGAACTGTTGTCAGTGTGGAGGAAGCTTCAAAAAACTGCTGAACTTCTGTCATAAAGCTATTCAAGCTATTCAAGGCTCAGGAGCTTGAACATGAAAAAAGAGGAAGTCTTACTTCCCACCTGTGCAGATTTCCTGATGCTGCTGTTCATATTTCATGTTCTTCTAATGACAAACCAGGCCATAGAATGTGAATTAATAGTTCTGCAAAATGGAGTTAGGGACAGATGGGGGGGCGGGGGGCGGGACGACTCGACTACAAACCTGATGGAAATCCTCAAATTGCAGAATAATCTTAAATAAAAATAATACAGCTGGGGATTAGAAACCCCCCAAATAATAGGAAAAATGCCTGTAGCTTTAAGAAAAGAATGTCCACCGAGCTCTCAGTCAACATTTTGGAGGCTGCTAGGCAACCACAGCAATATTGCTGAGCTTTCCAAGTAGGGCTGTCAGACCCCCAGTCAGGGCAGGGAATCCAACAATTTGCTGGGCTGCTGCCCATTGTTGGCCAGCTGACTGGTGGGGGAAGCCCCACCCACTAACAGGGACTTTGCATGGCAATGCTCTGGTTTAAAGGCAAAGGAGGCAGAAACTCTATGGCAGGGGTGTCAAAAACATGCAGCCTGGAGGCCAGATCAGGCCCCCAGAAGGTTTCTATCAGGCCCGCAAGGGCCTGGCTGTCTCCTGCTTCTTCCTCCAGTTCTGCTGCTGCTGCTGCATCATAGCTTGCTTTCCTAGACTCTCTCAATCACTCAGGAGAGATAGATAGATAAGCTTGGGCTGAGGCTCCTCCCCCCTGGGCACAGACATTTTGATGCAACAATTCAGAGCAAGAAGTGTCAGTTATCAGAGACTGTTAAATAAACAAAATATTGCAAGAATGCTAATATTTCAGGCATGTTTTTATTTTAAGAAAAAAAAAATCTTTGTGTTTGTGTCCTTTATAAACTTTATGTCTCCGCTATCTGGCATTATATTTTATGACACACATGGCCCAGCCTAACAAAGTCCAATTTATGTCAAATCCGGCCCGCCATAAAAACAAGTTCGACACCCCCGCTCTATGGTAAAACCAGATTGCCCCCGTGTGATGCCCCCGGTGTGATGACATCACTCACGCATAATGTCATCACGTAGGGGATGTCATGCAGCAACATCCCTGTTTGGGGTGGAGCCTCGCCCCCTCCTGGATCGCTCCCCCACACCCCCGTAAGTACATCGAGAACGCCTGGCAACCCTACTTCCAAGACTTGATTTCTGTATAGTAAAGCCATGGAGGGAAAGGGCAGATTTTGATGCCACAACAGTTCTACAAAGTATCCCATCCCTACCCCCTGTTATGTCGACAGATGGGAAAAAACTCACCAGAGACAGGCCCAGCAGCAATCGCTGGAGACTCACTAACCACATGTCAGCCCAGTAGCCACTGCACAACCAATCCCAGCACCAGATGCTGCTGTACAATAGGCCCTGGCCTGGTGGAGGCAGCCACTGGCCAACTGTAAACAGGAAGAGGTGGACAGAGGAAAAGAAGGAGGAAAAACTGAACAAAAGGGAGCAGATGAACATAGGTTGGATGGTGCCCGGGAAGGAGAAAACGAAGCAGGAAATGTGGAGAGGCTATGGGGGATGCCAAGGAAGGGGAACTGGAAATGTTGGGGATACAGGGGAAAATGAAATTCCCTCTGCAGGTCTTTGCAGGAGCCTCACCTTTACAGGTGCCTCACCTCGGACTTACACATTTTTGTCTTAGCTCGGGAAGGATGGCTCCAGGGCAAACTAATGTATTCAGCAGCCAAATCGCTCACTCACAGCTTTAATGCCAGCAGCTCACGAAGTATATATGTGTATGTGTGTGTGTGTATTTACTGTATATATGTGTGTGTGTGTGATGGAATCACAGAAAGAGTTGGAAGTTCTGCACTCTGCAGAAGCATATCCGAAAGATATGTATATGTACTGTTTCTACTTTTTATTACTTAGGGCCAGGGCTTTTTTTGTAGAAAAAGCCCAGCAGGAACTCATTAGCATAATACACCACACCCCTGACAGCACAGCTCATTAGCATATTAGGCCATACCCACATACCTTCCCTTGGCTTGCCCGGGTGCACCGTGCCTGCAGGGACCCCGGTCGGCCCTTGCCTGGGCGCCCCGGAAGCCCAAGCAAGCCCCCCCCCCGGGAAGGGAAGGCAGTTTATACTGCCTTCCCCTGGCTTGCCCGGGTGCCCCACAGCTGCAGGGAGCCCGGGCAAGCTGGTCCTTGGACAGGCACGGGGAGGCACTTAAATGCCTCCCCGATCCTTGCAGGGCCCCCCCTGGCTTGCCCGCCTCGGAGTCATCGGGGAGGGCCGCTCTCCAGGCCTTCCCTCTGTAGCCACGCACGCAGAGGTTTGGGCTGTAGTGGGCGTGGCCAACTCTGAAGCCAGCCGGAACTCCATTCCTGTGCGTTCCTGCCCCAAAATAGCCCTGCTTAGGGCTCTGCTTATCCCAGAAATCACTAGCCTCTGACAGCTGCTGCTCATTTTCTGCAGCTTTTGCTTTTACTTCTCTATTGTATGCCTTCTTCCTGCCTAACAGCAGTAATTTACTTCCTAGATTGTTTGCAAGTCTCTAAAGTTTAACTATACACTTTGCAGTAACTACCTTCACTTTAGCCCCTGATCTTCGATCCCCCTCCACTTTCCTCATAATCTCAGCTATTCTAAATCTGATTTTC